TATTTCCACCAACAAAGTGTCTGGAATTTCTCCAGTGCCCCTACCATTCGTCTCTACTTAACCAAAACTACACCAAGAAATAAGCCACTGGGTGTTTCCATTTTACAGGTGGGAAAGCAGAGGTTGAGATGCAGGGACTGCCCCAAATACACCCCAGGGCTTGGTGTCCTCCAGATGTTCTGGACTACAAACCTTTGCTGGGGGGCATGGAGTTGGCTAGCCCTGCCCCAGAGTGCATTCAAATGAGTCACCCAGAGTGGCTGGGGAAACCCAGCCAGATGGGCGGGGTATAAATAATAAAACTATTACTATTATTATTATTATTATTATTATTATTATTAACCATGTGGTATATCAGCCTCATTTCTCTGTCTCCTCACCTCACAAACACGCTCGACAAAGGGACTGGTTTTTTTGGATGTTTCCTTATAAAAGGGTGAATGCAAACCCCTGTCTTTGAAGCAAGCTACAGAAATATAAAAGAAACACACACTCTCAAAGGTCTTGTGCATTTGTGTTCCTTGTAGATTGCAGAGTTGAGGCTCACCCCTAAATTCTGCGCAGTCCCTGGCACATCAAGGGTTAATGGTATGGCTCCATCTGCATTGAGTCCAATGGGGCATATAGTCCCAGGAAGGAGAGAGTAGGTTTGCAGCCTAATAGAAGCAGTTGTGTGGCTCACTGTTCCCAACACTCTTTGCCTAGGGACCCTCCAGCAAGGGAACTGCTGGAACTGCCATTCAATGCTGTCAGATAAGAACTCCTTCTCCCTAAAAGCAGGTGAATGGGCAAGTCTGTTTCTATGGCCTCCAATGGCAAGGGGGCAGAGAGGGTTGAATGCTCCCTGCACTAGCAGCTATGGGGGAAAACGAGGACAGAACCCTTCTCCTCAACATGCTAGATTTCTGCATGCAGAGAATGTTGTTAATGTTTTGGAAGAGCATTCCCTTCTGTGAGAACCTCACCTGTAAAGCCCAGAATCTGCTTCGCCTCCTTATTTGCTCTTTATGAGAGTTGGTCTAACACTGACAACCAACCGTTACTGGAGCATTCAACACGGGATTCTGGTTTGGGGCCAAGAAAAGGAACTGACCAACTGCTGCAATAATGCATCTGTATTTATTTATTTTAAGGGAGTTGGCCGGTCCAACCTGAATCCTAATGACACAAAAATTGTTACATCATCTCAGGTCATCTGGGATCATCTCAGATAGGACATGCAGGGTGCTTGGGCCCCTTCATCAATTCTGTGTGGGGTGCTGAGTGGTAGACTTCTTAAACTGATCTTCAAATGTGCAAAGATGAATTGCCCATCCACTGGCAAGAAGCTATCTCACATTAGCCATACACTACACCTACATTGGCCACGGCTGACAATTTTTTTTAAAGACCCCGAAACAGAACTTGTGCACCCGGAGTTGCCCAAACGGACAGAGAAAAAACACATCCTGTCAGAGCCTCATGCGTACATTTGGACTACAGTAATTAAACTTGTTGGTTCATTAAAACACTTCAGAGCATCTCCAGGATTCTTGCTCTGAATCCTATTAGCGGACTGCCTTGTAATATGTTTGTTTGCAGAGTATTAGATACACAAGAAATATGCCGAACTCTATACGCTGAACTCAAGCCAAATGTTTGCACAGGGACTAAACCAAGGCATTCTCAGGCACCAGTTTCAGCTTTCTGCCACTACAGACAAAACCAGGAAGGAAAAGCAGTGCTGTGAGACCCAGAGACCAATTTGCCTGGCAGGCTTCTACCCAGAGCCTAGGGAAAAAATGCCACAAGGAACCGATCCCCAAAGCAGACATCAACCACAAAAGGGAAGAGGCTTTCTCCCCAAGTAACAGAGGTTTTCTAAGATTCGTTCCCCAAAGGTATAACCAGACACTCAAGGAAGACAAAAGATCAGTTATGTTCAAGAACCAAAAACATGTATTCAGGAAAACTGGTGCAGCTGGATTAAGTCATTGCAAAACTGAAATGGGGAATATTTTTAACCCAACATTTTAAAAAGGAACTGCCCTACTGTCAAACTTGGTTCACACACTGATAATGTCATTTTATTTATTTTTTAAATTAGGTTAGTCTCTCAGCTTGAGCAACATAGTTTTTAGAACAAACCCAAAGCAAATATATGAGTTACTTGGCAAAGATCATAATTGGTTTCCATGTATTAACACCCCCTCTAAATAAATAAATCGCTGGTCTTCTTAATAGGTTACATTGCTTTTGTGAATTAATCTGTTAAAATAAGCTGTGAAAGTTTACAGCCCAAACTGATAGCATCCATTTTAAACTCCCCGCTTTCAGAGGAAGTGTCTTTTTCCCTTCAAAAAAAGAGAGATTTAATCCAGAAACCAACCCTGAGGTTGTAGTAAACAGAGTGTAAATTTCTGTTTGTTTTGATTTATTTTTTAAAATGTATACTTGGCTTTCCCAGAAGTGATTTTCAAAGCAGCTTACAATAACCAAACATTTTTTTAAAAGTCACATATCAATTACAAAATGGCTCAATGCCCAAAATAATTATCGTTCAAACATTGCAAGTGCACCTTGAAGTCAAAAATAAAGCTTGCAAAGAGATAGTGGGGGGAGGGAATTTTTGGGAGGAGGGGGAATAACAGGAACCAAATCAATAGCTGCTCCAAACTTTAATTCATAAAAAAGGGATGAGATGGAAGCAACAAGACAACTGATGTTGGCATAGCTAACTATGTAGACTGGAACGGAGCCATAGCTGGTAGTAACTGAGAGCGCATGTCTAAGCTGGGGTATGTCCCTTTGAGTTTGATGGTACTTACTCCCAGGTAAGTGGGCACAGGGTTTCAACCAGAAGGAGTCATGTCCTTCCAAGTAATTGGGCAGGAGTTCATTTATTTCCCCAGGAACCCTGACATATACATCACAACCCACAGTCAAATAGAGCTGGGTGATATATTGTCCGAAACCAGTTTGAAGTCCATATCATGATATCAGTTTCATAAATGTTGACCTGGCAATATATCGCAAATCATGATATGTGCGTGTGTATGTTATGCAAAAATCACAATGTGGGAAAACTGTGAAGCCAGCCAATGCCTCTACATAGCTCCGATTTTATTTCAGTCACTGTGATATGTCAGTATATTGCAATGTTTAGCTGGTGATATGATGCTGAAAACCAGATATTGCCCAGCCCTACAGTGTTCACCTCTACGCAGTTCCATCCTTATTTTAGACATTGTGATATATCAGCATATTGTGATGTTTAGCTGGTAATATATCACAATATTGAAAAGCAGGTGTCACCCAGCCCTACACTCAAAGCATCAGCCCCTCCAAAACTTTAGCTATTAATATGTTTCTAAAATAGACAAAATGTCAGAAAGTGCCAACCAGTCTGGATAGAAACAGCTCCTCTTTCTGCTATATCTCAAAGCCACTAGTGCAACTCTGGCTATATAATCTAGTGAGGAGGACGCTGGATTTCCTACAGGCCTCCCATCCCTCTCTCTTCTCCTGGCGCCCACTTGACCATCATCTCGAATCTCTTCCCCCCACCTCCCCCTTTATTCTACTCCAGGTAGCATGAGGTTAATGTGAAACCCTACATCATGCTTCTAACTTTAACAAACAAAAAAATAGATTAGCAGGCCTATCAAAAGGAAACTCAGCTCTACTGACTGCAGTCAAGGAAGTGAGGAACAAGGTCGCATAAAGAAGACTGCAAAAACAGACTCCGAAGGCAAGGTTTGACTGCCGAGCTCGAGAGGGAAACCAAAAGGACGTACCTGTGTTGCTCTACCGTCTCGTTGTCCGGAAGTTCTGCCCCGCAGACGCTGCACTGTTCGCCAATGGCTCGGTTCTCAGTTTTTATACCCACAGCCAGTTCCCCGAGCTTGCTGAACAGCTCTCTCTGGATGAAGCCTTGTGGGAGGAGCCCCCCGTAGGCGCTGAAGTCCATAGACACCGCGAGAGCCGGCTGAACGTGCAGTGCGGGTGCCATGGAGGACGGGATGCTCAGCATGGAGTCGCCTTTGTGATTGGGTAGCACGGGGTAGATGCCCATCGTCTTGTCGCCGTGGGAAACCATGAGATCTGGCCCAGCCGGCGGGCCTTGGACTGCCTCCGAGGACTGGTCAGCATTCTCATCACGGGGGTAGTGAAGTTCGCGGGCACTTGTGATGACGCTGCTGCGCGTGGGGGTGCCGGGCCCTTGCTTGCTCTTGTCATCGCCTTTGTCCCCCACGGAAGCGCTCAAGTCGGCCGTCCGAGGGCTCTCGTGGCTGGAGGCCTCCTCCACCTGCATCGCTTCCGTCTTCACCTCGGACAGGTTTGGGTGGCGGCCGCCGGCAGAGTGCAAGTCTTCGGTGCCGCTGTGCTGCAGTGCCCCTTGAAGCAAGGACTGGCCGATGGACATGAGGCTGTCGACGGCGGCCTTGGTGGGGCTCATGGCCGAGAGTCCGAAGGAGGTGGAGACCGAGGGGCTCTGCTCCACCATCAGGCTCTGGCTGGCCAGGCTGGAGTAGCCGCTCTCTTCACTGGAATGCTTGGAGATGAGTATGTTTTTAATGTACTTTGACTTCCGGTCTTCTTCCTCTTCGGTGCTGCCATCAGCCATGTTGGCCTCGGCGTCGTTGTCTTCCGATGCTTGAATGGTCTCCAGGATCTTCAAGCACTGCTCCTCCAGGTACTCAATCTCCAGGATCTCAGCAGCGTAAAGAAGGTCGTCCAGGTCTTCGACTTTAGCCTGCAAGGTCGCCGTGTAGGCATACTCCAGGATCTGCTGGAATGTCTTTGGCGAGAGGAAGTCCAAGGTGTAATGCTGACTGTTGCGGTGGAAGAGGATCTCGAACATTTTGCTGGTGCAAGCCAGCACTGTCCGGTGGGCGTGGAACTCTTGGCTGTCCACCAAGATCACCACATCGCACAAGGTCCCAGCCAAGCGCATCTGGTTGGCTTTCTGCAGGAGGCCGGTGGCGTGGCTGGGGTTCTGGAGCTGTATCATACCCATCTTAGTCAAATCCATAACACTCCCAGGGTCTAGGCATTAGGGAGTCTTTCCACTGCACGATCCGGAGCTGTCATAAAGGAAGGGAAATGGAGGGAGGGATAGAAGAGAGAGAGAAATTGAGGAAAGGCGGTGGGAATGTGGCACACAGTGTGATGAGATCGAACGGAGAACCCCAAGAAGTCAAGCAGAGAACTCATCCCCTGCAAAAAATGAAGAAGACAACTAGACACTAAAGGTGAAAGGGGCCCTGTGCCTCTGTATCCTATGGGTGAATTGGAGAGAGGAAGGAAAGGGTGGGATTGTGGGTGGGGAAACACTCCTATTTGCTCTGCTTTGCTTTCCCCTCCATCCAACAAGCCACTTTTGGACAGAGACAACTGAAGGCTTGGGGTGGGTGGAAAGCAAAGTTAACCCTGGGCACACAGCTAAATTGGTAGAGGGACGGTGAGGGGAGGCACAATAACTTGGGAGCAAACAAACCCATGATTTCTACCCCAGTAGCCTTTCCCAAAGAATTCCCCAGCCTACAACTTGAAAAGATAGAGGGTGGGGGAGGACATCCTCCCTTCCTTTCTCCTTGCCTTCAGCTGTGGCCCTGGGCAGAATCACCTCTTCCACAACCCCACAGAGCCTTTTCCAGGACAAAAGTGCAGCCAGGGGGAATGGCTGGGATCCTGGTCAGCAGCTTTTCTCTCCTTTGTTCCTGGGAGGAGTGGGGGGAGTTCCATGGGGCCGAGAGGAGTGAGAGCCCATACAGAGGTTACTCCAGCAAGTGCTGCGGAGCCTAAATTCTACTATCCATATGAGACTCTCTCCCCCCCCCCACTTCCCCAAACCCAAGCCCGCTCTCCTCCAAAGGAGACCAGGATGATACCCAGCCAGCCAACAGACAAATAGTCCATTCTGAATAGCATCTTCTTTAGACTACATTATTAGAGCGAATACAAACTGCCTAACATCCCTTTCTCCTGCCCGGGCTCTCACATATACACAACACATCAGCTTCTAAGCGTGCAGACACAACAAGCATACACTGCAAAAGCAGATTTGGCATTAAAAGGTTAACCCCAACTACTTGGAGGTAGGTAGCGATAGGGTTGCAATGACTAAAAAGGGTTTTGCCCCCGCCCGCCCCCTGCACGCTTATAGGCAACATCAGCCCTTTGCCACAACTTTCTAGAATCAATGCAGCAGTAACTGCACTTGATATAACAACACGCAACAATTTCCCCTATTGGAAGGCTCTGAGGGTCCCGGTTTCTAGGGCTGCCTCCCTTGACTCCCACCATAAGTCTCTGGGAGAGTGAGGGGTTGACTTCTCCCCACCCACAAACACCCACAGGTAGCTCTTTAGCTTTTAATGCCCCGAACCACGAAACAATGGGCTCCTAACTCTCACCCGGTTCCAGCATCCTCAGAGCCTCCGCACGGCAAACAGAGTGCAGAACTGAAAAAAAAAGGGGTGTCACCCTAGAATAATTCAACCCCAGGAAACAGGAGCTGGGGGAAACTCGGGACTCGGTCCCCAGGTCCCGGTCAGGTCTCACTCGCTTCCCACTGGCCAGGCTCGGTACCCGAACCCTAGTACTTTTTCCCATCCGCACCAGCGCTAGAATGGATCGCTCCGCATCTGAGCTTCTAAGCGGAGCTTTCGGTTCACAATTGATCCAGGGTGAAGATTGGGGAGTAATCTTATTTGTTTGATTTTTTGTGTGGGGTGCGCGTATTTTTATGACTTTGCGGGAGAAGGCTCTTTGTGGCGCAAATCTGAACTGTGCCATCAAGGGAGAAGCGAGCAGGGCGCGTTTACTGGCAAGGAGATATTCATGAGGTCCAGAAGCCGCGATTTAACCCAGCAGGGGAAAGAAAGCAAGGCGAAATCCCCTCGTATTTTGCAACTAAAGCAGGAGGAGGGGGGAAGAAAACATTCTCTCTATATATATTTAATATGAGTACAGGGGAAAACGCTTTTTAAAAAAGACGTCTTCTTTGCACTTCTCTTCAACACCCCCCCCCCCAAAGCAACCCAATTCATAATACAGTTAAGCCGGGAGAGTGTACATTTATTTTTCAGAACTGAGATCGAGGAGATATATACTGCCCAAGCAAGCACTTGAATTGGGCTTGGAGGGGGTGAATCCGCGGGTGTCCATCAAATTGGAAGCCAAAACTCCTTTGGGGCCCGAGGCAAAAAAAGTCCGAAAATAAATCCGAGGTCTGTATTGTTTTAGCCTCGTTGTTCGCTGGCGCCCTTTGCGCCGGTTGCGGCGCGCAGGCGGAGGCCCCCAATCCCCACACCACGCACACATTTAAAAACAAGGTGCAATTCTGATGTTGGGGTAACTGACCTGTTCGTCTGTGCACCTTCCCCAAATAATTCGCTTTGAGCAACCTCCAACTATTTTGACCAACAGTTGCTTCCGATGGCCCTGCAAACGCATATGACCGCCCCCAAAATACGTGTCCTCGAGCAGAGCCCTGTTCCGCCAGGCACGAGGATGAGGAACCCAGGGCTCACATACCCCAGCCGGCGCACGCCCTCGGCAGCCTCCGCTCACAACCAACACGCGCAACTGCCGGCGCTCACCGCGCACCCCGACCTTTGCACCATCCCCCAAAATGGCAAGGTTGGAGCAAAGTGCAACCGCCCCGCTTCCCCCCGAAGAAGAGCAAGTTGGTATCCCCCACTTCAGCAGGAAACACCAAATATTCTACTCTCTTGCACGGGATGCTGTTCCCTTTGCAACTGCGTAGGAGCGCACAGCCCACAATCTCCTTGTGCTTTCTAACATCAAAAGATTATTTTATTGACATAAGGGATTTCGTTGCCTTTTTTATCCTTTTTTCCTTCCTTCTCGGCCTTTAAAAAAAATAATTTATTTTATATCTATTGTCCCCGGGCGCGCAAATGCTGCTTCTTCGCGTGCCGTAGTCCAGCCAGGCTCACACGCTCCACGACTTCGGCCACTGTCCTGCGCTCGCACGCCACTCCGCTCCCCAAGAAAAAGAATAAATGCCCCGAAAAACTTGCCGCGCGCTCCCCAGGTGCTCTGCGAAGTGTCCCGAACTGACAACCCTCCCCCCTATGTTCCCCTCTCCAAAGAATGGGAGGGAAGGAGGAAGAAGAAGAAAAACGCCATCAACCACCACAACAAAAAAAGACCCTTCCTTGGGGCACTTTTTCTCTCCCCCGCTCCAAGTTTTGCGCAGGAGCCCTCCGGGGCCGTCGCTTGCCCCGTGCGTAATTGCGCACGCCAGCCCAAGCAGCAAGTTTTTGGCTCGGTCCCGCTCGCGGAGACTTACCGGGCTCTGCACCGCGGAACTCTTGCGGGCTGCTAAAGAAGCAGCGGCGGCGGAGGCAGGAGGAGGAGGCGGCAGTGGCGGAGGAGCGGCGGCGGCCGGAGGAACAGCATCGCCGGCGCGTCAGGCGAGTTCGCAGCGCCCGCTCTCAGGCTCTCTAGCTGCGCTCGGCGGCGCGGCTAGCAAATCACCAGCGGCTGCCTGACGTTGCCACGGCTGGCGAGGCGCGTCGGGGCCGCCCCCTGCTCTCCTCCCCTGCGAAGCCCCAGCCAGGCACCATCTTGACTGCTGGCACCGACGGCTCCTGCCCACAAGCGGCCGCGCGCGGCGCAGCGGCCGGACCCGGCCTAGCAACGGCCAGCCAGTGCACGGAGCCGGACGCCGGAGTTGCGCGACCAAGTCGGGGATGGCCTGACCCCTAGCTGCCAAAGACGCCTCTGCTGCTCTGGTTGCAGCTGGACTATTGGCTACGCGCGGGGACAAGAGTCCGGCGCTCAGGAGTTGCGCCCGCGTCACGCGAGAAAATTCAATAGGGAGCGAGGGAGGGGAGGGGGGACCCCTGTTGAATTTCGACTTGCTCGACGGCTCTTGGAGGCGCGGAAGGGGAGGGGCTGCTGCTGCGAAGGAGGGCAACGGGGCTTGCTTACACCTCGAGGGGCTGCCTAAGCGTTAGTCTGCCTGCACCATACGCGGTTCTCGCGTGCAAAAGAACCCCTTGACTGACGACGGCGCAGTGGACTGCCGGGACGTAGTGAAAGAAGCAGCCCTGATCTACAGTTGGACAGGGCTGCGTTGGAAATGGAGAGGCGCCGATGCTTCAGCAGCGGAACTGGATGCCTGGCCTGCATTCTGATGGAAATATTCCCTAAAGGGAGGGTGCACGGCAGGGGCGCTCTGCACGTGCCCAGATGCACTCTTTTTTAGCCCACTTACCAGTTCCTCCCCGAGGATTTCTTTTCAGTCCCCTGCGTCAAATGAATCTTGATGTTACAGATACCAACCAATCGCTCGTGCGCTTAACCCACTTTCCATCACCAAACACACACACACACACAGAGAGAGAGAGAGAGAGAGAGAGAGCGCCTGCAACTCAGGACCCAGACAAGGTTCGCCACCAACCGACGCACACGCTTCCTGAAGCGCTTCTAGGGACTCCGGACTGGGATTCGACCCGTGGAAACGCCGTGCGCATGGGGACTGCAGAGAAGCGGTCCACATGATGCGGGGGAGGGCCCCTCCCCTCCCCTCCCACAACATGCCCAGCTCCCTTTGATCCAGTCCATTTGTGACCAGATGTTTTCGGGGCAGTAACTAAGGGAGCAGAACCGTTTCAAGTACAGTATTACACAGCGCGGACCTGTTGTAACTCGCCGCACCTTATTCGGGGTGGGTTGGTGGGTGGAATTCCGGATTGAGAACCCGATGCGCTCAGAGGGGCAGCCCCAGAAAGTTGCGCTGGGTTTACTGGAAAGCCCGATCCGGAAAATACGCGCGGGACATGCGCGCGCGCGCCATAGGGGCTTCCGAGGGCTGCTGCTGCTGCTGCTGGACAGCGCTCTCATTCTGCCCGGATCAAATATGGAGGAGGCGGCGGCAGCAGACGCCTACGGGAGGGGCGGAGGGGGAGGGATCAAAGCCCCCCTCCTCTCTCTCTCCACTTCGCCTCCCTGCTGCTACCTGCTGCTGCTCAAACTCGCGAGCCCCAGCTGGACGCCCCCGTCCGCACCGCAACACACACGCCCCAGGTTAAAACAAGAAAACGCGTGCGCTTCGCCACCACGCATCCAAAATTAAGACAAAGACTCTCCGCCCCCCCGCACCCATCCATGCGAGGCATGCAGGAGATTCTTCGCTCCTCGCCCCCCCCCCCCGCCAGTCCTCGTCGTCTCCCCGCTACACACGGACTATAGTGGTACCTCAGGTTAGGTACTTAATTCGTTCCGGAGGTCCGTTCTTATCCTGAAACTGTTCTTAACCTGAGGCACCACTTTAGCTAATGGGGCCTCCCGCTGCCGCCGTGCCGCTGCTGCACAATTTCTGTTCTCATCCTGAAGCAAAGTTCTTAACCCGAGGTACTATTTCTGGGTTAGCGGAGTCTGTAACCTGAAGCGTATGTAACCTGAAGCGTATGTAACCCGAGGTACCACTGTAGTTCGCACGCCCAGGTAGATCCACGCAGCCAGATGGGCGGGATATAAATCACCATCACCATCATTTAAAATTCTTAAATGAAACGAGGGGTGGGGGAGGACAACGGTGGGAAGAGTGGCTGGGATGGTGACTTCACAAGTCAAAATGTCCTGAAACTCGAGAGGGTGTTTCACGCGCTACAAAATGTTGGGGTGGGGGGTTTCTTTTCTCAGTCCGGGTTATAGGAAGCTGCCGTATTACTGAGCCAGGCCAATGGCTCGTGTAGCTCAACACTGAGTGACAGCGGCTGTCCAGGATTTCAGGCCCCGGGGGAAATGAGTAGCTGCAGGAGTGAGAGGGTTAAATAATTCATACACAGTCCATCCTCTTAGAATCAGTAATTCCAAATGGAGTGGGGGGGGGTCCAACATATCTTTGTGCTTTCGGAGGGCTGGTAACAGGTTGCAAATATACACAGCTGCTGATGCCACTGAAGCTGCTCTCCTGCTATGCATGCTTACTTGGGGGTTTGCTGAGTAAACATGCACAGGATTGCCCTGGAAATGTCCCTGTGACCCCAACATACCCCCTAAAATGGGAGGCTCACTCACTGTGAGTGTCTCTGCATGCTCCGTCCTGGCCATGGGGAAGCACACTCCAGCCAGAGACTCATACAGAGAAGCAGCGGGTAGACTCCCTCTGGGTCCTGCTCCTCCTGACTCCCACACACTGTAAAAGCAGGAGTAAAGAGTGCAGGGGAACCTCTACTTTCAATTTACAGTGCCGCTGATGTCCCCCACTTCTCAGAAGTCTGAAAAATGCAATTGAGAAGGGAGGGCCAAAGGCTTAGTCCCCATCACAGACTGAGCAAGCGAGAAATGGAAAAAGAACAATTTTCAAGTTCCTTCCAAGAAAGCTGCTCCTCCAGTTTGCTTCTTTCTCTTGGCTGTTGTAGGAGCAATTTTGCCAAAACAGGGAAAATGCACAGTTAACTCTCTACATCTTAAGCTTCAGTTCATCAATTGGTTAGACAGAGGGAAGGTGGAGAGGGGTGTCAGTGTGGGCATACTGATTGGAAGCTTGGAACTGGGCCAGCCCTGGCACCTGACTTTTGAATGCTAATATGGCAGTTTTCAAATACGTTTGGGATGCAAGAATCCCCTTCAACAGCATGAAAGTAACTGACACTCGAACTCGTGGACACGAAGCTGAATGTAGGAAGATTCAGGACAGATTTTTTTTTAAGTACTTCTTCATACAGCCTGTAGCAGCTGAACTAAAGAACTCACTCCCATTGGAAGCAGCAATGGTCAACTTGGATGGCTTTGAGAGAGGGTTGGACAAATTCATGGGGGATAAGGCTACTGATGGCTACTAGGCATGATTTAGGCTGGGCCCTGCTCCCACTGCCAGAGGCAATAATGTTCCTGAGTAAGAATTGGTGGGAAGAGTGCTCTTGCGCACAGAACCTGCTTGCCACTTATCCACTTGCACCTGGGTGTGAGAACAGTATGCTGGACTAGATGATCCATTGGTCTGATCCAGAAGCTCTTCTTATAAAGATGGGAACAGCGAGGAACTCGGGGTTATGTTGGGGGGGGGCGGTCCACAGTCATCGCACAGCCCTATGTCCTGTTTGCTGTTAAAATGGACAATTAGCGAAGTTAGGTAAGTTTAGACAGGAGTATTCAAGTGCCTCATGCTGACAAACAAAGGTAATCATGCTTGTTTGCATATAGAATACAGTCTGTGTTTTAATATACAGTGGTACCTCGGGTTAAGAACTTAATTCATTCTGGAGGTCCGTTCTTAACCTGAAACTGTTCTTAACCTGAGGTACCACTTTAGCTAATGGGGCCTCTTGCTGCTGCCGTGCTGCCGGAGCACGATTTCTGTTCTTATCCTGAAGCAAAGTTCTTAACCCGAGGTACTATTTCTGGGTTAGCAGAGTCTGTAACCTGAAGCATCTGTAACCTGAAGTGTTTGTAACCTGAGGTACCACTGTAATAGAATCGTAGAACTGTAGAGTTGAAAGGGACCCTGAGGATCATCTGGTCCAAACCCCCCTGCAAGGCAGGATTATGCAGCTGTTCCATTTGGGGATCAAACCTTCAACCTTGGCACTATCAGCCCCAAGCTCTAACCAACTGGGCTATCCAGGCCAAGTAAGAACCATTTGTCTTATACCCCTGCCCTGTAGATGATATTATATATTGGGTCACTTACTTCAGAATGTGGCAATTCATCCCTACTACAGTGTTCAAAATGCCCATTGTTCTAGGTACAGTTTGTGACGGGGAATTTCATTAGCGCAAGGAGATTCTGAGCTCTGGCACAGTACTGTGCCCTAAAATTTCAGATTAAAACTGCGGAGTGGAAGGAAAGAAAGACCTTTTTCTGCCTCCCCATTTCTAGCTACTCTCTGAAGACTGGAGAAGAGACCCTCTTAAGAATATTATGGGGGTGGGCAGGGGAAGGACTTGTATTCTTGTTATAAAAAAGTTGCGCTTAGACATCCAGTTGCACCCACAAACTCTGTTTAGTTAAAGCTATGGTTTTCCCAGTTGTGATGTATGGAAGTGAGAGCTGGACCATAAAAAAGGCTGATCACCGAAGAATTGATGCTTTTGAATTGTGGTGCTGGAGGAGACTCTTGAGAGTCCCATGGACTGCAAGAAGATCAAACCTATCCATTCTTAAGGAAATCAGCCCTGAGTGCTGACTGGAAGGACAGATCCTGAAGCTGAAGCTCCAGTACTTTGGCCACCTCATGAGAAGAGAAGACTCTCTGGAAAAGACCCTGATGTTGGGAAAGATTGATGGCAGAAGGAGTAGGGGACGACAGGGGCGAGATGGTTGGACAGCGTTCTTAAAGCTACCAGCATGAGTTTGACCAAACTGCGGGAGGTAGTGGAAGACAGGAGGGCCTGGCGTGCTCTGGTCCATGGGGTCACCAAGAGTCGGACATGACTAAATGACTAAACAACAGCAAGGTACCATTTAGCTCCTTGCTGCCATATCACAGTTTCTAACCCAGCTCTTGCCCCTGCTGCTGAGTGGGGCTGTGGCCTTCTGCCCTGAAGTCTTGCCCCGAGGAGCTCAAAAGAAGGCCATAGTTCAGAGGCAGAGCACCTGTTATGCATGAGGAAGGTTCCAGGTTTAGGTCCTTCAAGGAGGGCTGGGGTGAGATTTGCCTGAAACTCTGCAGAGGTGCTGCAAGTCAGTGTAGACAATGCTGAACTAGATGCACCACCCATCTGGTTTGATTTAAGGAAGCTTCCTTGACTCTCTTTGGCCCATGGAATATCAGGCTCAGGGCCTTGAAGTGTTTCTGCTTTAAGCTTCCTTGGTTCCTATGACCAATCCTGGTAAGAGGCAGGATGGAGAAAGGCCCTCGGGGTTGGCTGGAGGAAGTTCTGATTAGACAGGAATTGGAGCTGCTTGCGCATACACATACAAACCCCCCGTTGTGATAAGGTTTTATTATTTATTTCTAAAGTCCCAGCTCAACAAACAAGCAGGACTTATATAGGGTTGGCAGGGCATTTTCTGGTGTCACAGAATGACCATGAAAGGCTGAGAGCAAAGATTTACTGCTGGCCTTTATAGAGAGGACAAGGATGGGAAATTGCAAGATTACGATGAAATGGGGGGGGCAGGGGGGAGAGAGAAAGGGGAAAACAGTGTCTGGTGGGTGAACAAATCTGCTCCTCAGAATAGAGAGAGGCTGCGATGGAGGCTGTGATGAGCAGATTTGGAATACAGAAAGTCAGACCATTGGTCCATTTAGCTCAGTACTCCCTACACTGGCTGGCAGCACCTCTCCAGGGCTTCAGGTGGGGTGTTCCCCATTCTTCAGGCTGAATTGCATTCCAGCTTGGAATCCCCTTCTAGAGTATATCTGGTGGCTGGGTATTTTCAGCACCTATGACTTGTACCCATGGCTTATGCCTCCTGAGTTTACATTTTGATAATATTTACACCATTCATTCAACCAACCAAACAAATCCCAGAAGTTTCCTTATATGTACAGATGAATCAAAGTGGGGAGAGAAGGGTCTACTCTTTGAATTGTGCACAGAACATGCTAGAAAAAATTGTTTCCAAATTAGAGCAAGAGATCTCTCTCTTCATAAGAAATCACTCACTTCCACTCTCCCCACCCCCCACCTCTTGCATGGTACAAATAGGATGTGAACTGATATTACAGCCAGTTAAGATAGGAAAATAAGAAACACATTTAAGAATGGAGATGCCCCGAGGCTCGTCACCAGGGTGAATGTAATCTGCAGAGGGAAAGTGTGTTTATAATTATAATGGGGTTTAATGTATGCTGGGGACAGATGAGGTTGGCACTCATTTTGCATGGACGGCCTGATATCAAAACCCTCACAAAAGGTGGAGGCACGAAGGTTATTAGATCCATACTGAA